CTGGGGGATTGAACTGCGGTCCCTGATGCCTTGCCAAGCTTGTTCTAAGTAGGTGCTTTAGACCACTGAGCCATCTCTCCAGCCCCTGTTTTCATTTCTGAGATGGTGAGAAATTGTAGAATTGAGAGCACAGAAAGTGAAAGAGAGTGAGGGGGAAGATGGGGAGAGGGAAATGGGATTGAAAATGATACAGATATGCTGATTGTGTGAGCCAGTTTCCCAAAACTATGCCGTTCTGTGTTGCTAGCATGCTCCAATTAAAAAAAAGAAATTTAGTAATGCAGATTAAGCCAAATTAATAAATTATTATTAGATTCTCTGTATAAATATTGTCTTTATGATCTCTTGGAAGCTGTACCATAGACCTCAAGAGGCATTTGGCTATATGACTAGTCTTTTACAAATGTAAAAGGATTTTGTAGGTGATATTTTGAGGTTAATATAATATATAAATTAACCCAAAGCTTACAGAAAATTGCAGTAGAATATAGATTATAAATTAAACTAAAAGTATTCATCATTATCTTTAAGAAAGGGTAACTTTAATTCCCACAACTTACAAATAAAAATATTCTAAGATAAAGGAGACATTGATATGATAACATAAGTAAAAATCAACATTGACTTACTTTTGAGCAGTTTTCCCCCAACCCATTTGAGTTTGTATTTAAAAAGGAACATCAGGGCTGGTGAGATAGCTCAGCGGTCTAAAGCACCTGCTTAGGCAAGCTCAGGGACTGAGGTTCAATTCCCGGTACCACATGCCGTGCCAGCCCTGCCCTTAGGGTGGGCTGAGCTGGCCACACACAGAAAATAAATAAATAAATAAATAGGCTCATCAGGTTTAAGGAGCCATGTTAATTTCGAATGTTTAAATAAGAGAACCAGATGCCAAAAGCCCAAACAGAAGACATGCTTTTACAAGATCCTACCTTCTTGTATTTCCTGAATCCAGATGACAGTAGAATATTTACTAAGTTTCTGAGGTTATGGGGAAGATCAGATACATCCCTTATCTCCCACTGCAGAAATAACAGAAACATAAAACATTTTTGGCTTGCCCTTGATGTGATTTTTTTTTTTTTTTTTGTGGAAACAGGGATTAGACTCTGGCCCTTGCACTTGCCAGGCAAGCGCTTATCCAACTGAGCTATCTCCTCGGCCCCCCTTGAGGTGATTCTGATATGCAGGTAGATTGGTTTAGCTGTGACAGGTGCGCTCACACTCTCTCCGCTGTGCTTGTGGCCCAAGGGCTCGTGGGGAGGAAGAATCACCAACTTCGGGACAGCTCTAACTGACATGGGAAGCTAACGAGAGCAGGATCTGCATGAACTTTGGGGAACCCAGACTGTGGGGCAGTACAGAGCATGGCCACGTGCTCATTTATTAGCAGCTATTTTGCCTCACAGAGAAAAAGAATTGAACTCAAATCTGTGCGGAGGATAAAGGGACCCGGGTCAGCTCGATAACGAGGACTCTTATGCAATTATTTTTAACTTCCTGAGCAGCATCACAGATCCATACAGTGTCTAGATGGCAATTGATTTCTGATTTCCAGATCGTTGTAGGAGATAAGGTCGTTCTGATGCCTGTGAATGCGGGACAGCCGCTGCATGCCAGCAACATAGAACTTCTGGACAACCCAGGATGCAAGGAGGTAAGTTCTAGAGGATAGGACAGGGACTGGGTGATTTTTTTTTTTTTTTTCATATGGTAGAGAAACATACTGCTTTATTTCATGAGCATAATCCTGGTGATGCTAATTAATATCCTAACTTAGCTGTAGATATTGATTAGCTGTTTTTGGTCCCTTGAAGATATTTTTATTGAAGATATCACAAACTTTGTCATCCAAGATTTTCTTTTACCAACTGAAGTAATGACTTGTTATATAAGGAAGAACCTATCTTCTTCTAACTCTTAGTATTTCTTCATTAATAGGTGAATGCTGTTAATTGCAATACCAGCTGGAAAATCACTTTATTCATGAAATTTAGTTCCTATAGAGAGGATGTATTAAAAGGAGTAAGTATTTGCTTTGTTGAACATTTTCTGGAAGAGATGAAGATATTCTTAAAATTCTAGATGTAAAAGCTAAATGCACTACTAGTCATAATTTACAGTGGGACCACAAACCTTAATTCTTTTTTTTTTTTTTTTTTTTCATTTTTTGGGAATGCATTTATAATAGGGTCTCACTACACAGTTTGACTTGTAATGATCCTCTTGTTTTCAGCCTCCCCAGTGCTGGGATTACAGGTGTGCGCCACCAGGCCCAGACTTGGTTACCAGCTCAGTGTTCTTGGGAGCAGAGCCAGTGCAGCATGCAGGACTGGGGATCAAACCCTGGTCCCTGTGCTTGCCAAAGCAGGTGCTTAGTCCACTGAGCTATCTTGCCGGCCCTGCAAACTTTAATTCTGACTGTGAATGTTTTACTGAGTTTCTCCTCCCAATATTTTAAGATGCATAAATAATCACTCCAGGCCGAATAGCTGGCAAAGGCCTCAGAGATCAAAACCGAAAAATACTTCTGCTTCTCATGTCAGTGTTTCTTGACGTGTTTTTCTAGGGTGATGTTGTTAGATTATTTCATGCAGAACAAGAAAAGTTTCTGACTTGTGACGAATATGAGAAAAAACAGCACATCTTCCTTCGCACGACGTTGCGTCAATCAGCAACTTCTGCTACGAGTTCTAAAGCACTCTGGGAAATCGAGGTGTGTGAATTGTGTTGGCTTTTGATAAGTATTTAGATAAAATGATAAGATCCACTATGTTGTTTGCTTTATTGTTATGGTGATTGCTTATGATACACCTATAACAGAATAAGTTTTGTGAACTGTCTCATACCCTTTTTTGCTATAATCAGTTGGCAAGGATGCTACTTCCTTCAGTTACCTGGAATCTCACTCATTTTTTCTCTTCTCTTCTCTTCTCTTCTCTTCTCTTCTCTTCTCTTCTCTTCTCTTCTCTCCTCTCTCTCTCTCTCTCTCTCTCTCTCTCTCTCTCTCACACACACACACACACACGTATTTAATAAAAACATGTATTATTGTACTTTTTCAAAAGTCTTTTTTTGAAATGTCATTGAAGCTGATCAAACTAAAGCCTGTGGTGGCCCAGGCATTAAGAAGGAACAGAATGGCCTAAAATAAATAAATAAAAACAAGTATCAGAACTACACAGTCCCTGAAGAGAATAATGTTCATATCTTCTGGAATGCTGTTTCTATTGGAACCAAGAGACTCTTGTTCCGCATCTGTTCATCCTTTAGAAAGCATTAACTAAATGTGTCAGTATGGCAGAATGAAAATGAAAAAGAAAAGTGAGACATAGGTTTTTTAAAAGGATCTTTGTGTACAGTGAAGGAGATAACATGCATAATTGCCTGTGAGCAAGGCAGGAGCTGATAAATTGCATCTTGATTTGATGGACATTTCGGCCTTTCACAGTGGCCCTTAGGCATTTCAGATCCATCACCTACGTTTTTTTTTTTTTTTTTGGTACTGGGGATTGAACTCAGGCCCTTGTGCTTGCCAGGGAGGTGCTCATGCTGCTGAGCTATCTCTGTGACCCCCGTCCCCTACCTCTTTTCAAAGCAGTTGTTTTGGAATACTTGCCATAATATCCTAAAATGAAATGTGTATGTTTCTTAATGATTGGAAATGAATATAATGATCCAATTCTAATATATAAATTACATAAACGTATTGTAAAGTAATATGTATTTCAACATGTAAATGACTGCTCTGGAAAATGTAACATTTCTGTCTGTCTGTGATAAATCCTTTTATACCCTGGATTGGAGAGAAGTAAAAGATCAAAAGACATTGCACACAAGTGCAGGAAAAAGAAAGAGCAAAGGTAGTTGTGAGATGTTGAATAGCAGCTAGTAGGTAAAGTGATAGCATAACAAACAGATTTACCCACACAAAAGAGGGATACAGCAATAACTAAGTAGACTGTAGCAGGATATCATGTCTGCATCTTGTACTATGAATAATCACTATGATGACAACAATATGCAATGTATTAATTATTGAAACTGTCCTACTAATTGGTTTTGAAGCTGTCTCATTGCTATTTGTTTCTCAATACAATTTTTTAAAAAAGGACAAATTATAGACACCTGAAACAGAGAAAAGGAGCAAGTGTTACATTTATGTAAATGAACTGAGCCTTCTTTATGCATGTAACTAACACCAAAGGAGTGTTGGGAGATGTGATGTAGTTTAGGGTAGAGATGAAATCACGCGAGAAAACGCAGCTTCTATCTTGAAATCCCACCACATGTCCAGGCATAGTTTCAGTCTGGCACTGGGGAGGGCTTTTGTGGCCACACCCAGGAGGGGGAAGCAACACTGGGGAAGTCTGAGAGAGGCTGTACCACCCAAACCAGAAGCTGAGGCCAGAGACTTCCCTGGAAGCCTGCCTTACCCTCACAGGGTAAGGCTGAAGAATTACAGGCACCTTCCCTCCCATTGGTCATAAAACGTTTGCTTGTCTCATTGTAGGTTTTTATCATTGTCCTCAAAAAATTAAAACACGAGAGCAATAATGTGAAATATTATTTAAAAATTTTATTCGTCACATTCAGTGAGTTTCCTGCCTTCTTTCATATTTGGTTCCAAGTCTGTTGAAGGTGTGTTGAGCCTTCTGGCATATATTTAGTTTTGTACCTTTTGCTTAAGAGTACCATGCACTGGGACTGACCCTATCAAACATATAGTTGGCAATTCTCCAACGCAATGAGCAGTCAGAACAGAGAGAGGGTTGTTTCACGTTTCGGAGATAATGTTTTTTTTTTTTTATATTTATTTATCTGTGTGTGTGTGTGTGTGTGTGTGTGTGTGTGTGTGTGTGTGGCCAGCTCAGCCCACCAGGGGGCGGGGCTGGCTGGCATGTGGTGCTGGGGGATTGAACCGTGGTCCCTGTGCTTTGCTAAGCTTGTTCTGAGTAGGTGCTTTAGACCACTGAGCCATCTCACCAGCCCCGGAGATAATGTTTTGATGTCATTTATGTTTCCCTCTCCGTAGAGAATTTCTTAAAAGATTAGACCTTTCATGTAGCTCTGTAAAAACTTGTTAGTATGCTTATGTACTGCAGCATTGCTGATGTATATCTGTGATAGGCTTCGTGCTATAGGAGATTCATAAGATGCAGGCTGCAGGGCGTTTCCTCATCTTATGCTTCATCAGGAAGCCTAGGCATCTTGCTTAATCAGCCTGAGGATCAGGCATTTCATGCAAAGAGGTATTTAACATAGGAACTTAGCTTTGGAGTTATTGGGAGGACTGGAGGAAGAAAATGGGGTGGAGGCACATGCACTTATTAAAGATCCAGCATAACAGGAAGCCGTCATAGTCCCTCTCTGAGTCTTCAGACTCCGCCTTCATGTGCTCTGTATCCTTGTGGCCTCAGTGCATGTAGGCCTGCACTGTCACTACTTCTAGCGCTAAAGAGTACCCTTTCAGCTACTTCCCACTGTTTTTTGTAGTTACAGTAAATACTCTGGGGAAGGCATCCAGCTCCTTGATACAGAGAGGAATGTGGAGATGGTCCTTTGGGTTCCACATACTGTGTCCATGTTGGGCTTCTCTGTGAATGTGAGGATGAACATTCTCTTGGTTATTTCTCATTAAATGCCATAACAGCTCCCCAAAATCATCATGGTAAATGAAGACACTCTCCCTTATATGTTTCCAAAGAAGTATCCTAAGGGCCTGTACCACCATTGCTAGACACACTTATGAGTAGGTGAAATTCTTACTCTAGGATCCATGGGAAGTTTTAAGCTTTTTGTTTATCCCTGTAGTGAGCATGTATAACACATTCTTAAAACTATTCCTGCCTTTTCACGAAAAGTAAGAATTCGAACTTGGTGAGATCACCAAGGCTAGGCTGACTGGCCAAGAATTTATGGAAGAAGTTTCATTTGAAATCTGACCCTTAAGGGATGGGTTGGATTTTGGCCCCAGGGATTCTAAGGCTTTGTACACTTTGAAATTTGTCCATAAATATTATTTTATTTGAGTTATGGAACTAGAGGAAGCTATAGAAGCTGGAATCTGCCAACGGCATCAGAAAGTTCCATTTGTTGGCACACAGAATTTGAGACTGCGGAGTGACCCAAAGGGCAGTACTCTACTGAGGGAGAGTTCTGAAAAATTATGTTTGCTCTTTGCTCTGCCTTCTATTTCATCTTTATAACAGTGTGTGAATGAACCCCAATTTGTACATGAGTCAACAAGGGTTGAAGATACTAAATTACTATGAGTATACCATAGTCAAATGCTCAAACTCCAAGTCTTTCTACTGTGCCCTACCCTCTGGCATGTCCAGCTGCTTGATAACTACCTTCTACTGCTTCCATCCCCGGGGAGCCCAGAGGCTCAGCACTTCTGGCATGGTCAGCTTGAAGGACAGGTACCAAAGGCCATGGTGTTTGTAAAAGTCATGCACAGAAAAGGGCCAATAACTAAGATAGTTCACATCTGCTGGCCTGGGCAGTTGGGCTTCTCTCCATCTGGAACACTCTCTTCTAGTGTCTGTCTCATTGTCTTAATCCAGATATCATATCCCTTGTCCTCTCCAAGTGGCCCATGCGGATTGCCATATCTACAGTAGCTTTTCCTAGTTACTCTATCATGGACTCTGTCTGTCCCCTTCTTGGTATTTGTTACTTCTCAGCTAATTCTCTCTTCTTCTTTAGAAGGTAGCTCTATGCCCACTGCCGTGTCTCTGTTGTCTTGAAGAGTAACTGGCCCATAGTATGCTGTTAAGACTTTCTGTTGAATGAATATTTGAATAACAAATTTGGGAGTGGGGAGAATGCATAGTATTTCTGCTTCTAGATTTGGAAACATGCCTCTTGGATTAAGGCAGTATTTGCAGACGTGAGGCATGAGCATCATGCATGCCTCGTGAAGTTGTAACTGTTATAACATGCCTCTGGCTCAGTTGTGGAAATTTTTTTGGATACACTGTACTCTTTGAAACATATATCAGGCTTGACAGGTCAGGAGTAACAGGAAGGTACTTCAT